CTGCTGCATTCTGAATTAGCTGGAGAGTTTTTAAGGACTTACTAGAGCTACCAGATAATAGAGAGTTACAGTTATCCAGCCTAGAGGTAACAAAAGCGTGGACCAATTTTTCTGCATCTTTTCGGGTGAGGATAGGCCTAATTTTCGCAATATTACGCAGATGAAAAAATGCAGTCCGTGAGGTTTGTTTTAAATGAGAATTAAAAGACAAATCTTGATCAAATATTACTCCTCTGTACGTAATGTAATAAAAACCTTTAATGTTCCACCCCACATCTGATTGTTTGTGTACTTTGAAAGTATGAATGAAAGAACAGCAAATAACTGGTTGTTTATGTGTAATTAAGTGACTAAGAATGACAGAGGAGTGGAAACTCCATAATACAGCTCACGCCCCCAATCATACAGTGTGAGGAAAGGGTAGGAGAAGAAAACAGAAGATACTTTATAATAGAGTGTGCACCCCCAGTCTTGCAGTGTAAGTAAAGGGGAAAGAGGACATAACAGTGGTGTGAAAAGTTAAGGGTAATAACCCTCACCCCAACCCCAAACCTAACCCTGCACTTAAGAAAGGTAAGTTTGCTTTCTGCTGCAGCCTACCCTTTACAAGCTCCTGCGTTGCTGGATGAACACGCCTGCTAGGAGCTAATTTTCAGAAGTATAGACCCACTTTAAAACTTCTCATCTCGTCTCGTCTCTCGTCTCGTCGTCCTCCACTTATCCGGGTCCGTGTTGCGGGGGCAGCAGCCTCAGCAAAGAAGCCCAGACAGTCCTCTCCCCAGCCACCTCCGTCAGCTCTTCCGAGGGAACCCCGAGGTGTTCCCAGACCAGCAGGGCGATGTAATCCCTCCAGCGTGTCCTGGGGCGGCCCCGAGGTCTCCTCCCGGTTGGACATGCCCGGAATACCTCCTAAGGGAGGCGTCCGGGAGGCATCCTTACCAGATGCCCGAACCACCTCAACTGGCTCCTCTCGATGTGGAGGAGCAGCGGCTCTACTCCGAGTCCCTCCCGGATGTCCGAGCTCCTCACCCTATCTCTAAGGCTGAGCCCAGCCACCCTGCGGAGGAAACTCATTTCGGCCGCTTGTACTCGCGATCTCGTTCTTTCGGTCACTACCCAGAGCTCATGACCATAGGTGAGGGTTGGAACGTAGATCGACCGGTAAATCGAGAGCTTCGCT